GAAACGCATGAACTACCGTGACGTCATTAGGCAAACATCCAGCCGATAAAATGAGCATGCAGTAAGCACACCCGTTCGAGACGCGTTCAAGTTACCGTATATGAGCTCGGCTCTGACCAGGTCCGTCTGCAAAATAACGTGCACGTCGTGGAGCAACCCACGGCGCCTGCCTGCCCAACCATGAACATGATCCGAGCCATACGAAGTGCACGTTGGCTGTCATAGACATGACACAACTCTGTGAAATAGTGATAGTAGTCCAATGTTTAAAAGTATCCTTCTTTGCAAGGGTTAGTTAGTTATTTGTACCGGTTGCGCTGCATATTAGTTATTTTTGTTTTATGAATGCGTAGACACCGAGTTCTTTCAAACCAGTTTATTTAAAAGATTTTTTCCCAAAAGGCCAGTTTCTCTCGCAATATAAATATTTTTCGTTTTTTTAATATTTTAAAATAAGCGTGCCACCAGTCCAAAATACAAATCCAGGAACAAGAACAATGGGTCCCTGTGAAACGCAAGAGCTCCAAGGTGCACTGCCTTGACGGAAAGCGATGGAATCTGGTACAAGCACAAATCAAAATAGCAAAGATAGGCGCTTTGCTGCGTCGTAATGGGAGCGCACGTGTGAAATAGAGAACGTTGCTCGCCGTATGCAGGACCGGCAGCAGCTCTGATATCAAGGATTGTTCTCACGGAAGAACACCCGGACTCCACGGGGGATGGTGTTACCCCCCGCAAGTGTCTTCCGTGTGTGGATTTGTAACCCGTTGGCGCCTCCAGCGCCGCGATCGTTATCTATCTGGTACGAAAAGGAAAGGTTGCGAGTGAAAATGCAAAGTGATATGCTGATTGCGCCTTGTCGCCGCATTACCATGCGTGCAGTGGCCTAGCTGTCGGAGTATTCACCGTTTTTGTATAACGCTGGCGGAGGGGAAAATATGAGCGCATACATTTACCACATCTTGATGAAAAAAAAAAAAAAAAGGAGAAAAAATAATGTTGCTTGCAAGGTGGTGGTGCTTCCGAGATAACTTTACATGAGAGTGCATTGGGAGGTTGCAAAGAGTGCACTTCTAGAGCCTCCTGTTTCAAATTGGGACGTTTTGTAACAGCATCGTTGAAGGAATCTTGAGTACGTTTCTCCACAAACATGCGGATGGGGTATCTTTTAATACTCAAATTTCGGGTTAACAGCATTTCAAAGGTTTCCCGTGAAAACGAGAAAAGGTAAAAAAAAAAGGATAAAAAATCATACTAGGTTAATGCGTTATCTCACAGGTCTCAATTCCAAAATATTCGATCTCGCCTATTTTTTTTTTTTTTTTAATTCGAGTCTTCCGCGTGCGAAATTAACTTTGGCCGGTCAATGTACCGTTTTGTCTATTGCCTGTTCGCTGCTCGTTCGGCAGTCATAAATTGTTTTACTGAAAATGAAAAGGGGTTTGTGAACAGTACGGACGAAACTGTTTTCCTGATTTATAAGGTATTTGGTGAGAAGGTGATTTGAGAAACAAGGTAGAAGTTTCGGCACAATTTAGTGTTCGAATAACCTTCCCCCTCTATTCTTCAGTTCGGCCAGTTTGGTGCAACTGCTTTTCTGAGGGTTTTGGTGTGTATCTCCCGCAACAGCCTACTCATTCATTATATGGAAAGTGGCGGTAAAATTGAAGGAACCATTGTACCAAAGTAGTTATACAACTTCTGATGGCGGCACGGACACACACACACACACACACATATATGTATATAGCTTCTTTCTAAGTTTTATAGATTTGTTAAAAAAAAACAAAAACGTGAACTTATGCGGTTTGTGCAGGTGAGTTATACGGCCAGGGGGACATTATGTGGGTGGCTAATCTCTGCGAGAAGTCGACTAATTATTTAAAATCGCTAATTTACTTTTTAATTCGTGAAAATAGACATATGGTTCCAATTATAAACTTACTGAGCATCATCGAAAATCACTAAATCAACGCTTTAGAGAACGAGCTGAAGCTCGTGGGAAAGTCGGGGGCGCACCGAAATTACCACTCGTGCAGCAGGCGCAAAGCAAGCCGTGGTTGAACGCGATGATAATCTAATCATCCGCGTTCCGCCACTGCGAACTTTGCGCCTGCTTCACGAGTGGCAACTTTGGTGCGGCCCCCACCTTGCCACGAGCTTCAGCTCGTGGGAAAGTCGGGGGCGCACCAAATGTGCGCCCCCGACTATGCTTATGTGCTTTTTATTTTATATAAATATATTTTTTTGATTTCCAACAGATGTGTGCTTTGTTTCGTTATCCGATTTGTGCGCTACAAAAGTTCTGTAATGCTGTCGTTTTTTTTTTTTTTTAGAATTTTATTGGTCGTTTTTTGACCGGTTGAACGATTTCTGACGCAGCCCTTCACTACATAGTTTTCCTAAATTTCCATTATCAGTCCTGTCGTTTTTAACGGTCAGCAGGCCACAACACTGCATGAAAATCAAATAAATCAATACAGTAATTTGGTGATTTGTGGCAAGAAGAAACTGCTTTCGTGGATATATTGATGAATCAATTTGTAACACGAGGAAGGGGAAAGAAATGACGGGTGATTGGACAGATATTTATTGAGCACACGTAATTTTCGAATAGCGTTATGTTTGCCTCGGTGTTGTCGGAACTTCACACAGTACAAGGACCGCTGCAAGGGAAATAAAAATCTACTGCAAGATTTGGCATTACCACTTTTTAACACAGATGTATGTTGAAACTTTGCTACGTTTTTTGGAGAGTTTCTTTCCGTAAAGTGCGTGATTTTCTGTCAATAGAAGCACCGCTGTCACCGCGAATCAGCCGACCTCCAGAAAATAACATTTGCTTTCCTTCGTCTCTCCCCCCGGACAGCGCATTTTAGCACGAAATGTCACATGCTCAAAGGCACCAAAACCGCGCTTGTTTCGTTGTATTCGCACCTCCAACCTCCTTCATTCAATCCCCTTCCCCCTACTTCACATTGCAGCCACCAGGCCCCGCCAGTTTTCGCTGCACACCTGTGTAGGCAGTAGCTGACCGCTTCTCTCCTTCACATCTCTTCCGTTAGGTGGCGTGTCATTCTCTGGAGTGACGTATGGCGAACCCTTTGGCCCGTTTTGACAATCGCACACGCCTTGCAAGGCCAATAGTTGATCCACGCATTGCGAAGTCGCCGGGACCATTTCGAGCCCGTTGGCGTCGCGTCATTTTCCTACGCGAATACTTCTCCATTGAATCGCGGAGGCCGACACTGCAAATTACTCCGTGTGCGATTGTTGTGCCGAGGCGGTTTTCCATCTACCGAGCGATTGCAACGTTCGTAAAGCGGAGACAGACGCACGGGGTATTTGAGTCAAGGCTGCGAATGTCTATTGTTCACTTTCAATAACCCGCTTGGAAATTTTTATTTTTACACAATTAGATGTTTTGTGACCATGTGTTTTCTTATAGTGTCGCGTGGCAAGCGGAAGATAAAGATGAGGGCAATAAAACAAACAAAGGTTAAGATGGCCGTGGTCATGCATGCGACCATGAAGCTTTGAGACACTGTAGTTTAGATCGGACGACATAGTGATGCGATTTGATATCGTTTGGAAAAAGGATTTTAGTTTCTGTGAAACCCGTTTTTATTTGTTGGACAGCACGGCTGTCTAAAAACTCGCTTGGTAAAGAAAACTGGCTCTGCACACAGGCACATTGAATGCGATAAATTCTTCTTGGAAAGGATAATTGCAATAGGAAGCGAAATGTGGGTTTTCGCAATCATAATGACGCACCAAAATATGTAGTGCTCATACCCTGGTGCGAAAGTATGTCCGGTTTACGTCATTCGACACTAACTTGGATGCTGCCAGAAAATGTGTAGATTTTTATCGGGTTTCTAAAGTGCCAATAATTAAAAGAAAAAAAAAAGAGAGAAAACCGCTACATTTTTAAAGTTGGCAGTAATATTCATAACTGGTTGCGCAAACCTTTGACCTGCTTGCGGAAGCCAATATCTGGTCAGATGTTTAGTTTGAGAAAAGTTTGGTGGGGGGTAGCGGTAGTTACCTATTTCACTATTTTTTTTTCCTTTATAGTTTAGTTCTCGAGTGACGCGTCTATATAACTTTTTTTTTTTAACCAATTGTGATTACAATAATATGAAAATATTACGGCACCAATAGTGGTTTTTTTTTTTTTTAACCGTGCAGTTTTGAAAACTAGAAACCTACGGAGATAATTCTTGTAGACTTAAAATTCTAGTCATCCAGCTTTCTCGTTTACCTGGTGCCTCATCTTCCGAGCGTGAGTCAATCTAAGTGACGGTGTTTCCTACGAGAATGTGTGCGTAAATATTTTCTATGAACTATTTCGAAACTTTCTGACACAAACAAGAGGCAAGAGCACAACATCCGCTTTTTACTTTAACTTTCCAAACAAGGTCATGGAAGTCGGCATTTTCATAAGTTTCTCGCGCTGCGTGATTCTTGTTACGGGATTGAAATATCGCGAGAAGAACGACAGCAATATTTGTGCCAGGAAGCGCATGTCGCCGAGCCGCTCGTGGTGACTGATACCTTTAACGCCCATCCTAAAGAAACGCGCAAAAACAAACACGATTTTTCACGACGTTTTCGACTTAGATCCTCACTGTTTACAGAAAAGCCCTCTTTTTCGCGAGGAACCACGTGGAGGGCGAACGTAAGGCTACGTTGTTCGCCGCGTTCGTGGTGTCTGACAACACAGACCATTTAATTCGCGGCCGCATTCCCAATCCGAGCCTTTTCTTTCTCTCTGTCTCTCCTCTCGCACAACTCGTTGAACACAAAGACACGTAGAAAAATCGCAAACTAAACCGGAGATGACGTTGTCCCCGGCAATTTCCCGTCGTCATCGCGAACCCACGAGCCCTTCGGTACGCGCAACTGCTACGTCAGCGTACGGTGGCCCCCGCAGCAGGATAGTCTGTCCTCCTTCCCGCCCCTTTTTGATTGTGTCTGCTTCAAAGTGGTTTCACTCGCCCACTTCCTTTTTTCCGAGGGGTTGGATTGCAAGCGACCGGCACGGACGGGGCAAGCGGGGACCGGTTCTCAGTCGCATTCGCTGCTGCGCGGGACGCGGCAGTCGCGGACGCTCTGATCCGGGACGCGGTCAGTCTTACAACGGTCCACACAGGCAATGGCCGCCGAGCCGAAGAGGCCCCGATGATGGTCACGTGAGTTGCCTCCCGAACTCCGTTATCGTTTGGACAAGAGATCGAGCTTCTGCCGTGAGCGACCGACAAGCACCAAACAGGAGCCATGTTTTACATGCTGGTGGCCCCGCTCCACCGTGCGGTGAAGATCAACCGCATCGTGTTGGACAACCAGATCTTCAGGCTACACTACAAGGCGACGTCGCTGTTGCTGCTCATGTTCAGCATCCTGGTGACCAGCGCCCAGTACTTCGGGGACCCGATCGACTGCATCAACCACGACTCAGTTCCCGCCAACGTCATCCGCACGTTCTGTTGGATCCACTCGACCTTCAATATCCCGGCCGCCTTCAATGCTACAGTGGGCGTCGATGGCGTCCCGCACCCGGGCATCCAGAAGTACACGCCGGACGAGCACCGGCGCTACTACGGCTACTACCAGTGGGTCTGCATGGTGCTCTTTCTGCAAGCCGGCTGCTTCTACGTGCCTCGCTACCTGTGGAAGTGCTACGAGCAGGGGCTCATTCGGAGCCTCGTCCAAGACCTGGACTGTCCGATCAAAGAGAGCACGGACGTCTGCCAAAAGACAGAGGCCATTGCGCGCTACATGCGCAACCACCTCGATATGCACCACAAGTACTTCTTTGTGTACGTCACCAGCGAGGTGCTGAACTTTGTCAACGTCGTCGGGCAGATCTTGCTGACCGATGCTTTTCTCGGCAACATGTTCACCACATTCGGCACGGACGTGTTAAAGCACCATGAGATTGACCCCGATCAGCGGAATGACCCGATGGTCTGGGCTTTCCCTAGGATGACCAAGTGCTCGTTCCATCTGTTCGGCAGCTCAGGCGACGTGATGAAGCATGACGCTCTCTGTCTGCTGGCCCAGAATATCATCAACGAGAAGATCTACATCTTCCTCTGGTTCTGGTGGGTCATCCTAGCGTTCCTAACGGGAGTGGAGCTGGGCTACCGGGTCATCACGATCGCTCTCCCCAAGGTCAGGGAACTGATTCTGAGGTACCGCGCTAGGATGGCTGACAGACGCATGCTCGAATCGGTCTCCAAGCGCGTCAGCACGTCTGACTGGTTCGTCTTGTACATGTTGTGCAAGAACATGAACCCAGTGCACTATCGCGCTTTTATCAACGAGCTGGCCAAGTCAATGGAAGACGACGAGTACGGCAAGAGATTGCTAGGCTCTGATACGTCGAACACAAGCACAGTTTGATGAAGACTTCAGGCTCTTCGTGCCAACAGGTCAAACTTGTGGCGTTGTTTCGGACTACGCGCGCCGTCGCGTCAAGTTTTACGGTAAACACTGATGCCATAGCGCTTTAAATATTTTAAATATTCATTAGCCGTGTTAAATCGGATTCAGTTATTGATAGGAAGGCATACATATGGGTAGCTGTTTCAGGACGATTGCCCTGAAAGGAGCGCCAGGTTGCACGTAACCGTTGGAGCTACTCATTACAACACCTCATTCAATTGACAAACACTACAAAACACTGGTTTGAATTTAGTTTTTAGAAGTTGTCAATGAACAACGCTGCCCCTCCTTTCCTGCCCGTAGAAGGTGGGAAAGCAATGGCGTATCACTACTTTCATTTTAGCGTCGTTGCAGGTCGGCAACTTTTAGCAAGGGTAGGCTATGGGTGCAATGTGCTGGCCCGATTTCTAGCTACAAATCCGAGAATCGGACTTGCTCTCAGCCAGAAAGTGCTTTCAGTGTACCTTGCCGATTGTGTCCTCCGTAACTTTTTTATGCAACCAGATAGTTTTGTCTTAAGGATCTCTAAACTAAGGGGGGGGGGGGGGGGAGGGAGGGAGGGAGTATAACTGGAAGAGATGCGCATGGAGGAATAAAATGCTTGGAGTATCGATGTGTGCCTACATGAGTATCTAAAGCGTCACAAATTTATGCCATCTTCGCGCGGAGCTGCACCACAGGAATGAATGAGATTGTATGTTCGGGGTGTCTACTTGTTTCATCATGTATACCAGGGTATTTGTATGTGTGTAAAAGCTTCTAGGTCATGATAAGAGATTCGTGCTTCCTATATGTTTGTATGGGTTTATAGCATTTTCCATGTCTATTTAAACGATATGAATGTGTCTTTGGTTAAGGCAAAGTGTCTGCTGTCAGCGCTGTGTACTGCCACTACGTCAAGAGTTGTGATGGTTGCAGAAATGACGGTACGCAACGTAGCCCGGCGTTCCGTACAGAGATGTGTAAATGGTTGAGCAGCCTGTTACAATTTTCAGGACTTTCGTCCGAAAAAAAAAAATAAAGAATAAACGACCGATTTTCGGTCAAAATTTTATGTTGGTCGGCCTGAAATGTTGAGACATGTGCAATTAAGTGCTGCTGGGTTTGTGCTTTTCTCGGTGCGATGCATTCGACGAATTAAAGTCAAATCAAATTTGCAATCACAAGACGGTGTCTTTTGTTCATTATTACACGATATACGTATACAGGATGTTTCAGCTAACTTGGTCAAGATCTAAAAAAGTTGGCGCACTAATTAACGCAGTGTTATTCAGTCCTCTTGAACAAGACAATTTATTTTTTACGATGTTCCAAACTAGCTGATTAGTGCAGGTTAACTAGCTAACATTTTATATTTTAATTTTCGCGTAAATCATACAATACGAAAGTTAAAGAAAGTATTAAAAAACATCCCATCCTATCGTTTTTAATGGGACAACCTTTCTGTGTCTACTTTTTTTCTGCTTAAAAAAAAAAAAAAAAAAAAGCGCGCTGCGAGAACTGCGATGTTAATGCCTTTCGTCACGTGGAATATTATTTTTTTTAATCTCTCGTTTTATTTAGTGCAAATAGGCGTAAGAAGACTATATACCTTGATGGAAACGACACTGTGGGGTATGTCTATCAACACGCTCTACAACTTTTTTATTGAAGGGTTTGCGCACAAGCTGATGTTCAAAACGTTAGCTAATTATTCTGTGTTAATTAGTCAGTTGGGCACATCGTAAAAAATATATTGACTTGCTCAATAGGTACTGCGGATGCGTGACACGCGCATTGCGTGTACCAGCTTTTTTTAAGCCTCGGCACAAGCTAGCTGAAACACCCTGCATTATACGGCGGCGCTACGAGCATATCCTGGGCTGTTTTCGTCGTCCATTGCCAAGTAACATGCCCACTTGGGCCAGAGGGCATGGATTTCGAGGTACGCTTTTCCCGGTGACTTGCAAGTTGCGACCGACGAATTGAACTCTGAACAGATAAGAAATCGTTTCAGCGAAGCTTGTATCTGTGACGAAGTATCGGCCTGACGGGCTGGGCTCCTCCAGTGATTTCCGATAAGCAATACGGCACGCTCACATAATCTTGTTGAACACGTCGGGCGTATTGTTTCCAACGTGTGCCAGCACTGAACGCTGCGTGTACGCAAGAACCCCTTTTTGTTTTTCAAGATTTCTTTAACGTGACGTCAGAAACATGAGATATGTTTTAGGTTTTATTTATGCTGACGCCGGATAGCTCTTTGTTTTTACAACATCATCCGGGCACGTAAAAACTGACCGAATGGTTAATGTAGAGCACATAATTGATTCCCCGATGACCTTTTCGTCATCTACCAGGACGGCACCAAGTTATCTCTTCGTGTTATCTTAGAACACCGTAACACTTCTCATCTGCAAACACCAAACTCCTTTTTCATGGAACATTTACGAGTTGCTCAATTCGCGAATACGACATCAGATTTTGTGTCCAGTTTATCCTGTAGGGAAGAAACGTTTAAATTGAGGTCTAGTTTGTGCTAGGCAAAAACCTAATAAATGAAAACGGCAAGGAGGTCTTTCGGTTGTCCCGCATACAGCACAAGCTTCCTGCCTTCGATAACACTTTTGGCGTCTCGCTCGAACTTCGGGGGTGCACGCGCGGCCAAAGCACGACGGAAGGCAACCAGGGCTTGCTCGAGGCCGGGCATCCGGAAGAGACAGCCTGCCGTTCTCATCCTTTCGGTGACTAGATCGAAAAATGTCAGTTTTCCCAAGAACTGGTTTTGCTTCTACTTCACACGAAGCGAGTTTTGGTTCGATAGTCTAAGAGTTTGTGGTATTCGCTCGAATAAAAATAAAACGCCTAATTTATAGACCCATTCATTTCTTCTGTACAGCCGCGTTTGTGACATTGCAACTGCGAAACCTGCACACGCACGAATGTGACGCGAACTAAAAAGACGTGCCGAATATGCCCATCACTTGTGCATGAAAGGTCCAAAATGTGTTGCCGTGGCACGGTGCCACGGATAAAACTTGAAAATGTTTCGCCCGCTCAGTTTATGTCTCTCTCGAAAGCGTGCCTCCCTGAGAAGTAGGTCAGGAGCCGGTTCGGCGTGTCGTTCATTCGGCGTTGCTGGTTGCGTTTCTTCATGCAAATGCGCGAAGCGGGCTGGCGCCACGCCTCCGAGATGTATGCCCGGAGAAAAATCGTCGATTTGGATGGATTTCTGAAAAACAAAATTGAGAACAGAAGGTTCTTTTACATTCTCATCGTCTCATGACAGTGCTGGTTGGTCAATTGGACACTATTGTGTGCTGCGCAGACCGAAGAAACAAGAAAGGTTTTTCCTTTAAATTTGGTTCGTGAATGACTGTAAGTTTGATCACACATTGATTGCATCACTACATCGTCAGTTATCAGTTGAGCTAGAGGCCACTCGAGCAGTCGGGGATGGTGTACGTTTCATGCATGCTATTGCGGGGTGAACGCAAAGATAACTTTTGCAAGCTGAGAACGTCATGTGTATGCTCATATGAGTAGAGACATGGTAGCGCGGCCAGATGCCCTGCCTGTAGTGGAAGTGGATAATTTTTCTGTTCACAAAAGCTAGCGGTTGCTTAAACCAGACTCAGCAAGCGACAAAAGCACACGCCAAGAACTCCAATATCTAGAAAGGGAGGACAATTCTCTTTCTAAATGGACAGAAACTATAAGCAGTTGTTGGAGATATTATGAACAGTGTGCGAGGCGGGTGAATCGTTAATTTGAACGAATCTCAACCTTGCTACATAAGTTTTTACTTCAACTTGACGAAGGTATAGTATAAAATGTGCTCTATAATCAATAGATATATAGCGTTAGAGGGAATACCTGACTGTATAGTCTCAGATCTGTGAAACGAGTCGTAAGAGCCTTCCTGAGAAGTGCGCTTGCGACATTTCACATTCCAGCTATAATGGCACCAGGGTGTAGCAATCATGTTCCCTACTTCTGGGATGATTGACTTCAATATAAAGGTTGTCGCAAACGTTGCTTTCAGATGAAATAATATTGCTAAGGTTCAATGACGCTCATATTTGACAAAATTTAGATAACTTGGGCATCCCAAACCTGGCTGTTCTGGTGTTCCACGTTGATCGCCCCTATGACAGCCATTTTGATAGTCGCCGGCGCGACCTCTTTAGGCCGCGAAGCTTGCGGATAACATGAACGGTGCTATGCAATTTAGTAAAACGTCTTTTATTTTTGGGAACTTGTATTAAATAAAACAAAAAAGTGTATAATCGAGCGTGCCAGCTAGCTGTTTTCAAAAACGAGAGCAATTTATTCAGGTTCCAATGTTCCACATGTATGATGCAGTTCTTTTCTCCTAAATTTCCTTCCCCCCCCCCCCCTTTTTTTTTTCTCCTTTCTTTGTAATGGCTTTGTTAGTGTACTTAAAGGTGAATAAATCAACATACAAATAACCCTTCTTTGAAACAACACTTAACTGAAAAAAAAGGATATGGTTATTAAAAATTAAAGACTGGCAACAGGATGACAAAAGGAGCGTGAGAAAGTCAGCGTTTGCTGAAGAAAACATATTGATAGTTCAAGGTCAGCTTTATGCTTAAAACTAGTTGCCCTGAGAACAATCACTTGGGTTGTGAATTATTGTATACCGAATTCATGGTTCAAGAATAATTGGGGATTGATATCTCAAGACATGGAGCGTGTGCATGTTGTCCCAAAGAACCTTCAGGCTCTTCAAGCGCACACTTGAAGTTCTGCAAATCGTTTCTTGGAGTGCCCATATGCTACGGAATTAATTATGGCCAACAGTCTTTTTTTTTTCTTGGTTTGTTGGTGATTTGACCAGGACGTTTCGATAGGAGCACTGCCGGTTTCGCCCCTTAAATGACTCTGTGGATACATGTGCTGTTCTCGTGCCGATTTTGTAATATTCTCGGTACCTAGAACGGAATATTCCACCAAATTCAAAAACCACCTTCCAATGTTTTTTTTTTTTTTTTGCAATGCACTTTTTACTGAAAGGAAAAGTAGCATATGCACCCATACGACCCATATTCCTAATACCTTATGAATGACCCTATAACGAAAAAAACTGAAAATTACGTAGTTTTATCAACGCACTTCATAATTCAAAGTGGTTATAGAAATCTAACTTGTCTTACGTACGTATTGTGCACACAGAACAAACAAAAAATATTGTCTGTGCTGTGTACCAGATCTATATTTAATCAAAATATCGATAGCTAAAAAGAATATCAAATGCAGGTGAAAGAAAAACAATGTACCTTGCACGCCATCTGACGGAGAAAGTCTGGTAGATAATCATGGTAAACTTAGCGGTTCGTTCTTCATTGACGAAAAAACCGTATAATATGTAATTTGGGTGCTTCGTATTATGGGATATGGGTCGTACAGGGCACATTTCTTTTTTTTTTTTTCGGTAGGTGTGAGAAATTGAAATTTAGGTGTGTTAAAATATTCGAGCTTTGAATTCAATCATTCATCCATTGCATCTTTAAGGGCCTTTTCTCAAAGACATTGCATAAGGGGGGGGGGGGATATACACACAAACTGTACAAGAAACCATAATAACATCAGGTGTGGCAGGTAACAGTGCTGCTTTAAACAAGAAACAATGGCAGGGGAATATGATGTTAATAAAATACAAATATTCGAGCTATTAGGAAAAATTGGAAATTATAGCCTTACGAAATAAGGGAGAAAGAAGTAGTGAAGAACCGAGTATTGGCTGTGAATGGTAAACTTAATGAAATAAACTTAAAGGTGCCCTTTTACGATACGTTGAAAGTGTGAATATCCAGCCGGTGTTTGAAAGAAGAAAGACTAGCTGTTGGGTAGTAGTCATTACGGATAAATCTTACAGCACGATTCTGAATGGACTCAAGATGACTAATGAGATAAACTTAATGTGGGCTCCCCAATTGCTGATGCGTATTCCACTGTGAAAAGTTACTTGTTATTTTTTTTTCCGAGTGAAGCGAGCAGTTTGCATTTCGACATATTTAACGACATGAGCCATTTGGAGCACCAGCTGCTAATTATATTTGAATAACTTTGGAGCTGAAGATGGTAATTATGAGAATCAATTATGCGATATAAAACACAGTCGTCCGCGAAGAGACGGATGCTAGAGAAATTGAGCTGGGTA